AAATTATTTTTATTATATAATTTAAAATTAAAAAAATACCAGCTCTAGAATTCTTTTTTTTTAATTTAATAAGATAGTTATATTATGTTGTAACTATACAAATTAAGGAAAAATACTGATACATGAGGTGAAAATTTGAGATTAATTATATGTTATAAATTATATAATTTAATCAATTGATATATATAATATTATAAATTTTAATAAAATAAAAAAATAAATTATTAAATAATATATAAAATTAACTATTTAATATTATTTTAATTGAGGCATACCACCTTGGTCATAAATTTTAGTCTGAAAATTTTGATTGAATAATAATGACGGCCCCTATTACCGTGCCACAGCATGTTTGGCAACAACTCTATAATTCAATCTTTAAACTTTGCGTAAAAAAAAAAAAACCGTATTGATTTGTAGCATTATCCAATAAAAAGTAGTACAGTGGCCATAGCCTGTGCAGTCTATGGCTACGTAAGGCTAAAAAACAGAGGCTGCGTCCTCCTTTTTCCTGGTGAAAGGCAGACTAAGACGCAGCAGAATTCCACTTCTTTCCCTTCTCCGAAGTCAACAACACTACACCGCAGAAGTTCCTTTCTCCATATGATCCCAAATAAATATAAATGAGAAACAATAAATAAGACCCATAAGAGAAAGAAAGACCCTCTATATGAATTCTTCAATAAGATCGGAATTACAGAGAAAAATAGGAGATACAGAGGCTTTAAAGAAGAAGAAATCAGAATATTCTCATATCCATAATGGAGATTCGCAGCGTTACAAATACTGGTGCTGTATCATTTTGGCTACAAGACAAAATAGCTTAACAGTAAAATGCAAAAAATTAAGAAATTAAATAACATAATGAATCTGTCATTATCATCTATCCTAATCAACTTCAGAATATCTGGTGACCAATTCAACTTTAACACCTCAACTCTTGAATTGCCAACTTAGCTTATTATTGTTATTTTCTTTTCTCCATATCACCATAACTGCAATAATGGCCATCGGCAAAGATGACGTCGAGATACTGAAGCCTCGTACGGACAAGAGGGAATACCGGCGGATCGTCCTCAAGAACTCCCTTCAAGTCCTCCTCATCAGCGATCCGGAAACCGACAAGGTACTCTGCAATTCCTTCTCCGTTCTTCCTTTTCATTCTCTTCAGAAATTAACAGTTTCTCATTGTTTCCTGATGTCTCAGTGTGCTGCTGCTATGGACGTCGGTGTTGGTTCCTTCTCTGATCCTGATGGCCTCGAAGGTCTTGCTAATTTACTCGGTACTTCTTCTTCTTAGTTCCTATCATAGTTTTTTTGGCTTAATGTTTCAATTTCCGGCAGTTCATTACGATTCAGTTTTATTTCCGACTCCTGGGTATTGGGTGCTTGGTCGGTTGCCTTTTGTTGTCATGTGTTTTCTCAGGGTACATGCTGCACTTTGCTAGTGAGAAGTATCCTTTGGAAGATAGTTACCATAAGTACATTGCAGAGGTAATGTAATCCAGTCTTCCTTCTAATTGATGGTTGACTTAATAAGAATGAATGTTGCTTTTAAATATGCCATGATTTAGTCTTGGGAAATGGAAGAAAAGATATGATCTGTTTTTAGTTGATGAAAATAGTTGCTGGGTGGGGTTATTGCCACAGCCACTAATGTTAATGCCACAGCTTTTTTTAGTTATTTGACTATTATACCCCTCATTTTGAATCCAACTTGCAGCAGTCATCACCTTCTCCGCGTGGGTTAATGGTCAATTAATTAAAAAAGCTGTGGTATTAACCTTTGAAGCTGTGGCAATAACACCACCCATAGTTGCTTCTAATGGGATATTTTATTCTTTCTAAGCTTGATTAATAATTTCAGAACTCATAGTAGAAAAGAGGATTGTGGACTATGTTAAAGCAATTTATTTCTATCTTTTTATTGAACTATGTTGAAGCAATTTATTTCTATCTTTTTATTGACCTCCCGAGTGGCTTATGCCTAGCATGGAGGCAGTAAAGGTGCCAGCATATATTCTGAGTATACCAACTTCTATTTTGCTGTTAATACTGATGGTTTTGAAGAGGCCTTGGACAGGTAGGCACTGCTTGATCAATTCTTTGATTTTGATTAATTCTCTGTGTGGTTGGATTAGTTTTCCCGATTTATTCTTCAGATTTGCACAGTGCTTCATTAAACCATTGATGTCAGCCGATGCAACCACAAGGGGAATCAAAGCAGTTGATTCTGGTTTGCCATTTTCTGGATTTAGTTTAGTATATTATTTCTCACATTGTTGAACCACAATTTATTCATGCTCATCCTCTCTCTCTCTCTCTCTCTCTCTCTCTCTCTCTCTCTCTCTC